ACCTGTGAGCTATTTAATGTGCCACATCGAGGAGTAAATTAATGCAGGTCCACAAAGAGAACACTTCGATTTGCTAATTGCTTGTAGAGCAGAGGGTATTGTTTTGTGTAGAGAAAGACTGTTCATTAGAGACTGAGTAGTTAATTTTTCCCTACAAATGGGGCTCACATTTGAGCTGCTTGCCCATCATTCAGGGCAGCCAGCTCAGCACCAGCCCCCAGAGGGGAGTGGGGGGCTCTGGATGCAATCAGTTTAACAGCTGCATTGTCACCACACCTTGCTTCAGTTTCATTCATTAAAACCTCCCTGACCAGCCTCCTCCAGCGCTGTCAGTGAAGGCTGACTTCTGGAAGGTACAGAAGAGAAATTATTGATGCAGGGAAGCAAGTTAAACAATTCAGAAATGTCTCTTTGGAGCCGAGTTGGTTCCTCTCCTTGGAAACCTGCTCCTCTTTCAGCCCAAGCTGCAGATTCCCAGTGAGGCTGGAGCACAGGTTCTTCTCTTCCTGCCAGCATCTTTTGAGGATGACGATCTACTGACAGTAGATTAGACTATGTTGTCATGTAAGATGAATATTTGGAATTGACAAACCTTTTTTTGAAAGCTTAAAGTAATTGATTGAGTACTTCAGAAGATTTTTTTCCCCTGCTTTGCAACTTGATATTCCCTACCTGGTTGTGCTGCCTTCAGTGGGTGAATTGCACTGTGTTTGTATATCTGATTTATAATATCTGTTTGCATATCAGGTTTTAACACTTGAGCTCAGTGACCTGTGGGAATTTAACATGTGTCTTAAGTAAAGAGAATTTCCTTGGAGCTTTAAGTTTTATGCGTAGCCTGCAAATTCAACACAGAAATCTATCCTACTGAGAGACTCCTGAGATACCAAAGTGGTATGATCAATTGAAAAGACCTAACAAAGAGCTACTCAGAGAATCATGGAGTGGTTTGGGTTGGGAGGGACCTTAAAAATCATCATTCTGTGGGCAGGGGTACTTTCTTAGATGAGGTTGCTCAGGATCCATCCAACCTGGCCTTGGCCACTTCAGGGCTGGGGCAGGCACAGCTTCTCTGGGCATCCTGTGCCAGGGCTTGCCCACCCTCACAGGGAAGAGTGTTTTCCTAATGTCTAATCTAAACCTACTCTTTTCCAGCTTAAAGCTATTCCCCTTGTCCTGTCATTACCTGGATGGCTTTTCCCAGAGCAGAGCTCTGAGATGGGACTGGCAAGCATGGAATATGTAACATACGTTATGAAATAATTTGTGCTAAGTGAAATTAAAAACCACAGCTTCTTGTGTACTGAAACCAGTGTCGGGCAACAAGCAAGCTAAGTGATAGAAATCCAAAATGCCAAAAAGACACTGTCTCCAGAAATGTATATGCCAAGGGATTTCTTGTCTGACAAGACCCCAGCTGGAGACATTTTTGATAGGCATCATCAGAAGCTTATCCTGGAGATTTTTCACCTGACAGGATTCCAGCAATTTTCCACCAGTTCCAGGAAAAGCATGATAATATGCTAAAGAAGACCCCCTTCCACAGCCCAGAGACTGTATAAAAATGGACCCCTCAGAGACCCACGGGGACTTTGGTGTGATGGAGGCAGAGTTCTAAGTCACCCTGATGCTGATTGCCTGGCTCAGAGTCAAATTGCTTGTGGCTTTCTTTTTTTCCAAATTTATACTTTGATAATTTAATAAATTTGTTTAATTATTAAATCAGAGCATTCATTTATAACAAGCATCTGCTGGACCCCCTGTGCCTTCCCACCGCCCCTGAGAGGCCCATGTCCCACCCTCATGCTTTCCTTGTCTGGAGGTGGCCAGAGATGGCTGCACCCAGACACCAACAGTTCATGCTGAGAAGACACATTCCAAGAAACAACATAACACTGTTTTTTTGGATCTTTTCTGGAAAATACCCAGGGAGTGGGAGCAGGGGCTGAACAGGCTGCCAGGCTCCACTCCAGGGCCCTCTGCAGCTCCTCCCCAGCACTCTGATTAAGTGAGATGTGGGGCTAAGTTCACAGCCTAATTTCTCCTTCATAATTAAAAATGCGTGCATCTGTCATGCTGCTGGTGATTAGTTTGTATTTTCTTGTGGCCTATAAGGAATATGGCAGTGAATCACTTCGCCAGCAGCTGTCCTCCAACAGCTGAGGGAGGTTCAATATTTGATTTAAGCTAATAAAAAGTCTGGGATAGGGCGGATGTTTACAAACTGGACGTGATAAAGCATCCAGATCAGCTGCATCACAACCTGGCAAGTGCAGACACTGGGGACCCTGCTGAAAATTTAAGTTTTGTCTGGAGCTTCCCCAGCTGTCTGAGAAGGTGGCAGGGACAGGGAGTGGGAGGGTCCCTGCTCTGGACTCTGAGTGCATCCAACAGCACCAGTGAGCTGGGGAAGCCTCCTTCTTTCCAGCTTTGTCATTGTAGCAGCTCTCAGTGCATTAAATATGTCCCTTTGGCTCTTCTGTGAGAGTTGCAGTCAAACCATAATGTTTAAAAATCTTTTAATCTTCATAAATCATTTCTTCCAGCAGTCTGGTAAGTTTAGTAGCTGCTCTCTGAATTCCCACTAGTTTCTGACTCCTTCCCTTTGAGATGAGCCGCCTACAAATGAATGCAATGAAGAAAACCTACTTTGTGATTTAGTTCTTATCTGATTGCTTCTCCAAATCAGATTGATCTGCTGTTGTTATGCTGCTGGCTTGGACTTGCTGTCCAGGGTTCTGTGTGTCTCTGTTGGCATAGCACCTTGAAATGGTTGTTATCCCCAAGCCATATTATTTCTAAGATAAATTATGGAATATTTCCCACTTGGGTTTTCAATTTTCCCCATCCCTTTATATTATTTATCTCTTGCCTAAAAGGTTTTTCCAGCCTTTTCCTGAAGTAAAATGTATTGGAGTCTTTGCTATTCTTTTCTTCTGACTTTTATGGAGGTATTTTACTTTTAAAATGCTCTTATACCCATCTAGTTTAACAGGCTCTTAGGGTGCTATTGCCTTGGTGTTATAAATAAAAATATTTACACTGTGAGGGTGACCAAAGCTTGCCACAGTGTGATGGGTTGATCCTGGTGCCCACCAAAACCACAGGGGATTGAGCTTTGAGGGGGTTCTCACTCTTCCAGTGTGGGTTATTCTGTGATTCCATAGGAGTCTGTGTGAACAGGAGGCTGAACAGAGGCTTGACCCTCAAATTCAGGACTAGTAGCTCTTGTAAGAATATACATGATTTTTAATGTCATTTTAAATTAAGTAATTCTTATATCTGGTTTAGAACATGCTAGTGGTTCCCATCTAAAGGTCATCTTCATACAGAGAAAGCTAATAAATATACAGAACAGTTGGGGTAGTTTGTAATCAAAAGTGTTCTGTCAGTCTTGGGGTGTTTTGCAGAGTTTGTGCCAGCACCTCTCCTAAATAACCTCTCTAAGGTCGTGTTTTCTAATTCTTCCCCAAGCAACTCCTGGCTCCAGCCTGCTGCTGTCCTTGTGCCTCCTTCAGTTGCAGTGGGGAGAAGTCTTCCCCAGGTGTCTGCAAATTCACAATTCCCTGATGTTTCCTCATTGGACTCGGTGATAATTTCATTTTCTCTCTTCCCTTGCCTGTCCAGGCACTCCAGTTTGGGCTGGGGCTGGCATTTCCTGCAGTGTTTTATGAGTGTGTTTCATTCCCCTGTGCCAGGTCCCAGGCTTGTATTAAAACCCTTTTCATCCTATTTCAGTGTCTCTTCCTTAAATAATGTCACATCATCCCCAGCCCTCCACAGCAAGAAGCTGAAACTTTTTCAGTTTCCACTGAGCTCTGGGACCAGGGAAATTTTGAACTGTTTGCTTGTTTGTTGGCAAAATGGAACTTCTGCTGTGAGCCCTTAGACTGTATTTTAAAATTTGTTTGCTTGCATTTCAGTGCAGTTAGCCTCCAAAGCTGAATGTTTTGCTTTTCATTGTAATAAACTGCTTGCTGTTTGTCTCTGGTTTGAATGTGGCACTCAAAAGACTCATTTCACATGTGGTGAGAAGTTGAGAGACTCCAGAGGGTTTTAATGAATATTTGCTTGAAATGTCATGAATCAGTTTGTAAGAAAGTTGGTTTTATTTGTTTACATTGTTTAAATTATTTGTCATCAGTGGCTATTTTTTGGGCTTTATGCTAAGCAGAGAAAGGCTGATAGCAGCCTAGCAGAGTGTTAGAAAATCAAGGATATGGGAAGTAATAGCGTTCATGTATTATGTGTGGCTTCTCTTAACTGTCTCCTAAATATCCATTTGGTTTAAAATCCTTTTTCATAAACAAAATTCTGTAAAAGATCCTTTTTTGAGTCAAGTTCCTGTTTCCCTTCAGATTATGCCAAGATAACCAAAGGTATTTCTACTCTGGTTTGAGATGCTTTACATTTCAAATTTCCCTTTTAAAAAGTAGAAATGCTGCACTGAGATCTTTTCTCATGGAAATTCAAGAGGTTTATGTTAGAGCAGATTTTCTTGATGTTTTCCCACAGCATTTTGGAAGGCTTCCCAACCCAACCCTGGACCCCAGAAATTCAGCAGAACATTTTCTATGAAGTTAGCTTAAACACACACTCCTTTCAGGAGCTGTGGAGCTAAACCTCCTCTTCTTCAAAGTTAAGCTGGGCAAAACTGGGTGGGTTTTAGATCACTCTGCACTTACAGCAGTGGAGTGGAGGCCCAGTTCTGGCTGGACCATGGGATGGAAATTTGGGCTGGCTCATCTGGTGGCATTCTCTGTAATAAACCTGATTTTTCTTGTGCATGTAGACTTCAGGCTCTTTGGACAGGACTGTCTCATGGCATGTGATGCTGACAGGACAGAGCAAGACCAAACACTTATAATTCCTTCTCAATGCCATGGAAATCATGGTGCTATGTGTGATTCTATTTCTGGGGGAAGGGAGGCCTTACTAAACTTCCAAAATTACATCCTAAACTTAATTTCCTTTTTTTTTTTTTTCCCTGTATCTTGAAGGTTCAGCTGTCTCAGGTTCTGGAAGAAGTGGGAAACCACAAGCAAAGAGCAGAGATGGTAAGTGTTCAATTTCTGCCTTTTTTTTTTTCTCTCTGGTTGTTTTACAGAGCAGTAATATGCAATGTTCAGTTCATTTAAACAGTGGATCAGTTCCAAATATTCAGAAATGAACAGCAAATAAACATTGCAAAAGTTGTGTTGCTGCTGCTGGTCTTGGCACTCCCTGTCTCCATACTCACCTGGAAAGTGTTGGATGAGGTCTAGTGGTCTGTCTTCCTTTTTTTGACAATTCCTTTTCTCCTTAGCAGTCCTAGATCAGAAGCAAACATTTAATTTCATACTGAATTAACTCCTTTCTTTGGGGGCCTTTGATTCAGTCTCAAGTGTTCAAAGGACAGGCGGAAGAGATACAAGAGAATTACCACAAACTATTTTTTTATAATATCTGTTAATTTTCTGCTGGGTTCGTCTATTTTATTGGCACTTCCCTCAAGGACCAAAAATAATAAAATTACACAAAACCAGGTAGCAGGGAGGTTTATATTCAATTTCATGACTCAAATATGATTTTTTATACTCAGGAATAAATGAAGTATCACTGTTAAGCTATTTTGTGAACTGATATTTTTGCTAATGGATGAACTGTGGGATTCCTGCAACTTTTTCTAGTCACAAGGAAAACTTGAGCAGTATCCAAGATGCAGAGATTCACTCTGTAGATGTGATTAATTTTATTACTAATATAAAAACAAGCCTACAGCACAGGCTAGTAAGTTGGTGCTAAACAGACATCTGTTCTAAAATCCAAATCATAAACTAGAGTGCCAACATGGGTCTTTTTAACTTGTGCTGAGTTCTAGTAGGGCACTGAAGGGCAGGATGAGGTGCCCCTACTGTGCTATTAATGGGTTGCCATACGTCTGTGAGGATCTTTTTTTTAATTTGTGCCTCTTGCTGTTTCAACATCAGATTTTCCATCATGAGAGCGTTAATTGATTCCGGTTCTGGGGTGGTCTCACGTTGTGGGCAAACATTTTTGTATGCCCAGCTGCTTTCTGTGGTGACACAGGCCACATCTGATACTTCCAAAGAAAACTGAATTAATCCTGTTTACCATCTGATCTCATTATGTGCTGCCTTGTAACAGTTTCAAATTCTGTGCAATCAATTTTGTGTTGTGCTCACTGGATGTATCAGAGGAAAAACTTGCTGTTGTGTTTTAAATGTTCTGATGTTATAGAGTTGTATTTTTTTAACATTTAAAAGTTTTTCTTTTGGGCTCATTAAGCCAGGTTTTTGAGTTGTTTGCCTTCAAAAATTTATTGTATTAAGTGGGCTAGCAGAGGGCTGGAGAAGCTGGAACTTCCAGTGTTAAAGCATTGATTGGTGTTGTGCATCCATCAGCAGAGGATAAAGCCACAGTCAGTGTTCAAGCCTACTCCCAAGGGTTTCTCAGTGGAAAACTGCTGGTCTTGTGATCTTCCAGTAACTCTTACATCAACCTCCCATGAACAGGCTGTTTTCTGTGGTGCTTTAACCATGGACTGCAGATTGTGAGGTGTGGGCTTTATTCAGCAGCTTGAATTTATTCAGTAAATACAGGAGAATTGATTCATACAGAGGTAAAGAGATTTTTTTTTTTTCCATCTTTTCCCTTTTTGAGGGAAAACCTTACAGTATAGCTCCTTTTCACTGGTGGTAGATGGTTCTTCTGCATTCCCAGTCAAAATCTCTCTGGAAGGGAAATTTATTGTCACTTTGTGTCCTCTGCAGTGTTGCAGGTGACTGAGGTCTGTTCCCTTTGGATGGGGCTGTTCCCTAGCTGCCTGCCATGGGCTCCTGTGGATATGCCACCAGCCCCACTCTCCTCCTGCCATCCAGCAAAGTGCACTTGATGTGGTTTTTCCCCCCTTCTCCAGATCAGTGTCTCACCTGGATGGCCTGATTTTAAACTCCTTTAAATTTGACACTTCAGCAAAATTATTCGCCTGGTTGGGATAGCTGGCCTCTCACCTTCCTTTTCATCCCTTTCACCCGTGAGCCTCCAGTCCCAGTTTGATGTTGAGCTGGGAACACTGAAGGGCTTGTCCTGCTCTGGGTGCTGACTGGTGTGGATATTGCTTTTCATCAGCTCTCCTGCAAACAGGCCAATGGCTCCAAGTGAAATGGAACAAACACCTGTCAGGTGAAGATGAGTCCTTTGGGCTGCTTCTGGGACAAACCTCTGTGCAGGTGACATCTCAGCTGCCACCCTGAAGAGCTCTGATGGCTCTGCCACCCTCCCTGGGGCATTGGAAATGAAGAGCTGGGCTCTGGCTCCAGAGCCCTGGCTGATAACACCTTACTGAGAGAACCAAAGACTTCTTTCTATCAGTGGGGGCATCTCTGATGCCCTGGTAAATAAGTCATTCTTTACGCAGCAATATTTAAAAGTACAACACTCATGGGATAAGCCTGATGTGATTGTGGCCTCAATACAACAAGATCTGCACATTCAGCCCCTCTCCTCCAGGGACAAGCTCAGGGAATTGTGTCCCCAGGGACAGTGCAGAGGAAGGGTGGGTGGTGTGTGTGATAAGGAACCCTGTGCCAGGCCAGAGCACCAAGGTCCTGCTAGAGGAAAATGGGATGCCAGGGAAATGGAGTGGCTGTTCTGACTGCTCCAGTGCAGGGATTCTTTGCTTGTCAACTGAAAGTGAGCATGCTACTGAAAGAGCAACAAAAAAAGGAAATTTAAATGTCTTCAGTTAATTGCAGTTGACAAGACAAAGGCAGTTTGACTTTCCAGTATTAATTAGCAAACCCATACTAATTAGCTTGTATAAGCACAATTCATGCCTCTTTCCCTAAATGCAATTAATACTGCAACTGAGGACATCCCTGGGCTGTGCCTCTGTATCATTAATATACTTTGCCCTAATTACACACGGCCAGTAGTGGCTGGAGAAATAAGTTTGTGATTACAACCATAAAAAACCCTCTAATATTTTGTATCCTTCAGGGAACTTGAACCTAGAATTTATTTTTTGATTTAAGAAAAATTACCCTTATAATTGTGCTATGTAATTAACAAAGAAACTTTGATTTTCCTCTCCCTCTAACCCTTCACTTATTTATTTTTCTTTTTTCCCCCACAGTTTAAGCATGTTCATACTGTAAGGGAACAGTGTGTGCCCATAAGACACATAAGAGTCACCATTCTTGATAGGGCTCAGGTCACCGAGCTGCCCTGGAGATCCATGGGGGTTTTCTGTCTTTTATTTGCTGAATGTTAGTTGCTTCAATTTTTTTGGTACAAATGTGCACTTTTCTGACAATTTGATCAGTACAGGAAGTTTTCTTTATTGGGGCTGGTGCTACAGTGTCTTTATTTGCAGGATGTGCAAGGAGATTGCTCAGAGTTCACAGAGCTCCCTGATCTGTGGTCTCAGGATCTTATTTCTCATGGTATGTCAGTCTAGTGCTCTACTGGCCTAAAGCTGAGGGAGAGCTTCACTCACACCAAAATATTATTTGTGGAAAATGCCTTTTGTTTGTTATATTATTTTTCTTTCCCTCCCTGAGGGAGGGAAACAGAAGATGTGTTATTTTTTGTAATTTTCGTTTGCCTTTTTCATATCCCTTTATAGACACGAGGAGATATTTTGGCTGAAGCTTGCCATCCAAGCAACAGCTCTGATCCCTGATCTTACACTTTCTTCCAGTCTGGTTCTGTAGCAGGGGGCATTCATGTCAAGATTTTTTGTTCTCCGTCATTAATCCCTGAGGGAAGTTGGCTTGGTATTAAAAAAGCATCACCTGTATTTTCATTACCCTGAGGTGCTCTGGGTATCTTTTGGCTTTCATCTTCAAAAGACAGCTTGGCCCGTGTGGGCTCTGAAATCTATAGACTGCTCTTTGAAACAAATTAAATTTCACCCTCCAGCAGATTAAAAAGGATGGCTATAAGAATCAGAGGAAATGCTTAGCAGGGTGGGAGGTAAAGAAGATTTGAAGTCCAAGAATGCAGCCATCACCAAATGAATGGCATAAATTGAGTGTCCTTACAGAGGGAATAAAGACACCTTAAAATTAATATAATCAACACCCCTTGGCTTGAGGAGAAGTGTTGGTTAACCCTTTGCAGAGAAGAGGAGACCTTTATTTAAGAGCATCAAGTCAGCAGTCAGTTAAAAAGCCAATCATGTGTTCAGTCTGATGAAATCATAATGTTTAGGATTAACATAAATATCAGTGACTGCCTACACTGATGGTTATCAGGAGTAGAAATGGAGAAAGAAAGGAGAGGACATGAAGGAAATAAACTCAGAGAATACTGAGCTTAATGTAGTTGGGAGCTAGCTGTTAACTGGAAGGCAACATGGAACAGTCATTACCTGTGTTTTTAATTTACAGTAACACCAATGATAGCAGGAAAAAATATGAACTTTAGTATAGAAAGACCTGCCCTGGATTACTGGCCAGTAAAGCTAATTTAATTCTTGTTTAAGAGTTATTGAACAGAAAACAAGAAATACAGACCGAGAACAAGAACAAAAGTGGTGTTCATTAGTGGAAATGTAAATTCTGTGTGTTGTCTGTAAGAGGGAGGCAGTTAAATGTGGGATTAGAGGGCTGAACCACAGTAGTTATAAATAAAAATGAAGCTTTGCTGGAACATCTTTAGAAACAACAGGTTGGGAGGAGCAGGAGACAACTGACGGGTGCAGGAAGTCTCCGTCTATCAAAAGTGTATTACATAATTTCTGAATTGATTTAGCAGGTGACAGCAAATCTCCTTCCCATGTGACAGATTTTATCGTAACACTTCATATGAGACCAGCAAAGCCAAGACAGATGAGCAGCGTGGCACTCAGCTGAGCAGCAGGGTGAATAGTTTTAGTAAGGCAATCTTAGAGAAATATCCACTTCTCAAATCAGATTGAAAAGCATGAACCTGGTTATAAAGAGACAGCAAAAGAAGCTAATCCAGAATGAGATGATATAGTAACAGAAGACTGGAAGAGGACTTTTAGATCATAAAGTCCACTCCTTCAGTAACCAAGGCAAATGCAGCA